CTATATGTAGAGGTGAGAGAAAGGACTATATGTAGAGGTGGGAAAAAGGACTAGATGTAGAGGTGGGAGAAAATACTATATGTAGAGGCGGGAGAAAGGACTATATGTAGAGGGGAGAGAAAGGACTATATGTAGAGATGGGAGAAAGGACTATATGCAGAGGTGGGAGAAAATACTATATGTTGGACACATCATATTCATCTATAGGAGAGATAGTGAAAATCAATATGGCTGTATCATGTTCAGCCTAATAAGGAGAAAGGACTATATGTAGAGGGGAGAGAAAGGACTATATGTAGAGGTGAGAGAAAGGACTATATGTAGAGGTGGGAGAAAGGACTATATGTAGAGGTGGGAGAAAATACTATATGTTGGACACATCATATTCATCTATAGGAGAGATAGTGAAAATCAATATGGCTGTATCATGTTCAGCCTAATAAGCATCACATTCCTTGCAAGCATACTCTAACCTATTTTCTGGTCAGATCTTCCTATCCCTTTTATAATAATTTACACTCTGAAATATTATGGCTATTTAAAGAGAATTTTAGAATGTCATACACTAATTTTTATTTCCCTCAATTGTTATACGCCCGGGGTGTTTGTTCATTAGGTTGTATACCACACCCAGTGTGTTCATTAGGTTGGATACCACACCCAGGGTGTTCATTAGGTTGGATACCACACCCAGGGTGTTCATTAGGTTGGATACCACACCCAGGGTGTTCATTAGGTTGTATACCACACCCAGTGTGCTCATTAGGTTGGATACCACACCCAGGGTGTTCATTAGGTTGGATACCACACCCAGGGTGTCCATTAGGTTGAATACCACACCCAGGGTGTTCATTAGGTTGTATACCATACCCTGGGTGTTCATTAGGTTGGATACCACACCCAGGGTGTTCATTAGGTTGGATACCACACCCAGGGTGTTCATTAGGTTGGATACAGTAACTCACGAATGCCTGTCTTAACTTGAATATTTAAAGAAATTGAGTGCTGATGTTGTTCGTTTGCACAAATTAACTATTTATGACGGTGATAACTGGTCATTCCTATAAAAGTCTGACATATGAATTCTTGCCACTTTTGTTTTTAAATAGACCTTCTGAATTAGTATTATTGATTAAAAAGAAATCTATATTATGGATCAGTGTGTTTACAATGAAGATCAGTTTTTCCCCAAAACCACTTCAGCATCCCAAAACCACTTCAGCATAACAAAAGGAACAAGATATCAAGCTAAATTGAAATATTTTAATAACTAAAATAAAAGTGAAAGTCTCACAATAATATTAATGTCCATATACCTGTACACAAAAGTAGTCCCGACACACAGTTGTACAGGTACCAATACATCAAGGTAAGTTGTGTGGGTAAATAATAAATAAATGTCCGTTTCTCAGTATTGGGTAGATTGCACATGAAGGGTATATCACAACCACAAATAGGGTAACACGTCACTAACATTGGGTTACAGTAGCACTGGACAAGCTTCTATCATCAACCCTTTCACCGCTGTACACCATAATGGACTTGTCCATATCAATGCATGATAGTGTCTACTAAAGTTACATAGGGGTGAAAGGGTGAATACTCAAATTAATATATATAAAGCACTACAAATCATGTTAAACTTATTTAGCTGGAACTGCAATCCTTTTTCATAAATGAAACAAAACTTCCTGAATTCATATAATCTTTTCCAATATTGTGATCCCTTGAATGAAAATGTTTGTGGACAACATATAATCTCAAATTCTGGAAATATCTTGACATCGTGCTTTCCTTGGTTATCTATGTACAGTGTACGACTGGTCTTTATTTTGTTGTGCATATCACAAACCTTTAAAGGGTAGTTCTAGTAAACAATTATCACAGGCTTAAAGCACGATTAAGAAGACATTGTAATTTCAACCAGAAATAAACAATTGATCTAAACAAAATTCTAGCACACTATTAAATAAATAACACATTTTTGAGTATAGCCATGAACTTTGACTTTTCAAAGGTCTGAGAACATCATGTCAGTGGTCGTTTGTGACTGTTAAGTCTTTTAGCATCACAATGAAGATTACATACTATGAATAATCTCTGATCTATGATTATCTTAAAAGTTAACATATGCTTAAAATCTTTAAAACAACTTATTTGATAAATACACATAGTAAACAGTTATGTAAACTGGCCCAGTTGTAAACAAAGTTTGATTGTAGAGGTAAAGTTGACTGCTGAACAGCAATTATCTACCAACTTTCAGTTTGAGAAATGATGAACTTGATTTTTGAAATTTTGACCTTCGGTAGGGACAAGCTTGCATGAAATCACCATTACAACAGAGAGGCAAAGAGCCCAAGCAGGGCTTTCAGTAGACTTTTAGACATTTAGACACTTAGAAGTCAAATAACACTTTCCCTAAAATTTGGAGGGTCAAAACACATGTCAGAAAGACAGGTCCTTTCAAACCTAGATTCAAAGTGCATTTTGGGTCAAAAACATACTTTTGAGTGTCTTTTGAAAACCCTGCCCAGAACCCTGCCCTTATCAGCCATTCCAACTGTGTGGACAGGGACACTACATTCAGTGCACCTCCAGTTCTCACACTAACACATTATAGTCACTTATAACAGGCAATTTACTGAATTGGTTCAATAATGCCAGAATGAACAGATTTGAAATAACTTTAAAAATAAAAACCCCCCCCCCCCCCAAACCCAGAATTACAAATCGTAAAACATATTGTTACACTTTTCCACAAATAGAATACAGGCTGTAGCAAGTCGAGACTGGATATACATGCCTGTGTGATGGAGAAACTAGTCCATAACTATGCTTACATGAAGGTAAAACAAGTCCATATGTATGGTTATATTTTGAAAGTTATGGACATGTACTTTTAGCAATAGGTTCCCCTAAAGGAGAAAGAACTAGTATGATTGGAAGCCTTACTAATCTCAAATTCACTTAAAACAGTAAATAGATGTGATTTATTTTTTAAGGTTTCAATTCTTGTCTTTTCTCTTTTCTGTTAAATACAAATGAAATGAAATATGTTTTACACAGAAATATGATAGCATTTATATGAAGTCGTGGAATGCTATTGGTCATGATAAAAGGTGAATTTCGTTTCTTGAAAACAATGTAAATAGTTTGAAATAATCCAAAAATGACAAAACATTCTGAGTGCAGTACAGTGTAAAACCTACAACAGAAGTCAAAGTGACAAGTAAAATGGATGCTGGTGGAATGTAGTCAGTTCTAGTGTAGGTCTTCTTATCATCATATCCTCTCTGGAAGGCAGATTCTCCACTCAGTTAAGCTATAATCCTATCAGCTGAAAAACAATAGCCTTCTTCTTAGCTTAGTGAAACTGGATCATTCTCTTAGGTCAACTGATATTGGCTTATCCTCTCAGCTCAGTGACGATGGATTATCCTCTCAGCTCAATGACGATGGATTATCCTCTCAGCTCAGTGACGATGGATTATCCTCTCAGCTCAGTGACGATGGATTATCCTCTCAGCTCAGTGACGATGGATTATCCTCTCAGCTCAGTGACGATGGATTATCCTCTCAGCTCA